AAAGATCAATTTAGGATTGAAGATGCTGAATCCATTTCTGACTCTTTCATCAAAAATGGTTGTTTTAACCAGAAAGTGGCCATATTTGTACTCCCAGTGGGCTGATTTATTTTGAAGCTTTAGGGGACTCCGGATCATTCAGATTGGACAGATTCATTATTTGAAAAATAATAGTCCACATTAGAGGTAATACTTTTCATCTTGTGCTCTATATCCAACGGTTGCAAAACTACTCAGTCAACATCATCCCACAGAGAGTACAAATATTGCCACTTTGTTAAAACTGCAAATTCTGATCCTTTCAGAAATGGATTCAGCATCCTCAATAAGCCCCAAAACCACCTCAAAATTCTCCAAATCCACCAATCAATTTTTTTATTATTGTCTGCATATGCTATGATGGTAATTAATGACACAACTTATGCTTTGGCACTGGCAAGTAGATTTTTTATGAAAAGCCCTTTTTACTTTCAACCAAACACGTCCTGCCCACACGGATATTTAGTTATAGGACATAGATGCACATGAAAACTGAGCTGAGGTTCTTCTGCTGCCTGAATAACAAATGTCCTCTGATTTGTTCTACTGACGGATGATTCATCCTGTGTGACGTGAGAAGGTTTCAATTGTGTTCAGACTGCTCGTATCAGAGCTATTGCTAATACTATCACTGTTCCTGTAAAATGGGAATCTTTTTGAAAAAGAACGGAGCCCCATTGAGCTTTTCATTCACTTCATGGTTACATTTCCAGCCGACAGCTTTTCTGTATGTCTTGTTTTCTTTCTTTTCTTGTCAACCAGCTGCCAGGAAATGAAAGAGCTGATAAGGAGCATGTGAACACACACAAGCTGATTTCAATCCAGATGCTATTGGTGGTCTCATACTCGTAGGTTCACCTATGAACAATGATTCCTTGTGAAGAACACCCAGAGATCAGGTGTTGCCAGGTTACAGTACGTTTTAGTGGTTACATAGGTCAGAGGTCATTTCAGACTCAGGTACAATTTAAAATCTCAACATTGTGGTTGAAGGAAACATCATATTGAAGAGTGAAGTGCCACTTTCCTTAAAATAAACTCACATTATATTGAAAGAAAACCAATAATTAATGCCAAACCCTGTATAATTATTTAATCATTAATGGTGGAGGAAAATCTTTTTTGTATTTAACTGCTTACATTCTTACCCATTTAATGAAAAACCAACGCTTGATCCAAAGCAATGCATTTTTAATGTGTTAAGGTAACAACAACAATTCCAATCCTGTTGGCGGTACAGGAGCTCCCGGTGTGTTTAAAAGAATTTCCCAATTCGGGATTAATAAAGTATCTATCTATCTATCTAAAAAAGTGATTGAATAGGCTGCCACTAAAAGGAAACACAAAAACAATTCAAATTCTCCAAACACTAAATTGAATCCAACCGACCCTTCGCTAAACCGCAGTTACAGTAGCGATGATCTGGTACAAATGTATGCAGCGATCTCCTCCGAGTCCTCAGATGATGAAGAATTTGGATGAGCACTTACCAGAAACACGAAAAAAATCATGTGGATAGGATGTGTCACTTGGAAACACGATGTTTGAGTGCAGGTTGTGGCTCAGCGGAATAATGCATTTATAATTTGTTCAGAGGAGAGCAAGTTCGAATCCCACTGCAGTCACCATGTTGTTGCAAGTGAATTTACTCATTTTTGAAAACATTGGGTTTGTTTTGTGTCTTTGACATAATCATTTGACGGCTTAATGAGTACCTTAATACATCCTTAAGTTTGTGTGTCTGTTTTTCTGTTTAGTTGATGTGAAGAAAGCAGTGGCGAGCCGTCAGGGCCCTCTAAAATGTTTTTTCCGGCTCTGCCGTCGATAGGCGGTATTCTCCAGGAACTCCCGGAGATCATCGGAAAGGCAGCCGCCTAATGAGATCTCCCCGTTCCCCCGGTTCAGGAGAGCTCTCCTCCGGATGACCTAAAAAAGCTGCATAAGCGGCGCCAGCCTGTCGGTTAAAGGCAACAGGGCTCGTGGCATAAACCGGCTGTCTTTAAAAACCTGTCGGTTGATTAGACAGCACAGGTTTTTTTCCTCTGTCACAGATGTGCCTCCTACACACACCTCTGGTCATTCCTCAAGCGGGTTTGAGTGTGAACGCGCCTCAATGTCCGGTTTACGAGCCTTCTCCTAAACGGCGACATGATGAGAGCCGCTGTACAGCGTGTGGAGGTGCATAAACCAGCTGTTTTGAACCTGTCGGTTAACAGACAGCTGGGCTCGCCGTTTGAGCCGGCTGCTTCTAACCTGTCGGTTAGCAGGCAGCACGGTTTTTCCTCTGTCCCAGATGTGCCTACTACACACGGTCGTAATGAGCCGGCTGTTATTACGCACTGTGTGAATAGCACTGCACACACCTCCGCTCATTCCTCAGCAGGTTTGAGCATGAACGCGCCTCAATGTCCAGTTTACGAGCCTTCTCCTAAACAGAGACAGGATGAGAGCCAGTGTGAGATGCAGCGTGTGGAGGCCCCCTCGCAGCCTTCTCGGTCCGGGCCCCCCTTGGGTTGCTTCACGGACAACGGCGGCGAGGGCACTGACGTGGCTCGTCACCATGACAACCACAGCACATCCAGAGCATGTTCGTGCGCTCTCAGAGTATTACTCAGAGTGGCGGCGCGTGTGTTCGTTGGACAGATGGATAATAATAAGCAGCAAGGCCCTCTGGCTCTCCAAAATCGAGGTTCTTTCCGGGCCAACAACCGGGCTGAGTATGCTAAACTAGTGAGAGAGTCGCTGGCAACTACAACAAAATGAACATATTTGACCGTGATTTAATTGTAATACACGTTTCAAAATGATGCCGAAGTAACAACATACTGATACCGGTTAGTACAAACCATGAATTACTGCTTTGACAAGTCTGCAGACAGACGGCAGGCGAAAAACCCTTTTAAAATGCGTGTTTTCTGAATGGAGATTGGCTAAGCTAACGTTGTACATGCTCCGACGTCCACACTCACAGCAACGGCCTATACAGACATAAATAAACCAGCGACTGTATTCGCCATGACACAGGCAGTCTGTGGTTTGTACTTGCTTAACTTTTGTCTAGTTTCTGAACAGATATGAAGAGCTGTGAGCTCTGAGGGCTAACAGCTAACGGCTGATGTTGCTTTTGTGTTTCGCATTGAAGATGACGTCACGGCTCCGCCTACACTGCGTTACTATAGTTACTGCCCCAGGTACTAAACTGTAATAGAAACGCAGCATAAAGTGAGCCTGGCCTAACAAGGCCTAACTATACCGTACTAAGCCGAGCGAGGCCCTGCAGTGGAAAAGCGCCATAAGAGGGCGAAGCCTATACGAAATAGAACTGGGGTTACGTAATGTAACCCAGCTTCTATGAGTATAGGCGCAGCCCTCTATGGTTCGGGCCCCACTGGCTCCGCGAATAGCTGAAGAAAAGCTGTTTGTGTGGGAGCATATTGTCGGGCCTCCTTCCTATTTATGCGGAAGTGAGGCCGTAGGTGGGGCCCACGTCATAGGTGGGCGTGGATTAAGTCTGTCAGTGCTGCGCATGCGCAGTAGGATTACCCAATAGCGATAGCCTTAGAGGGCTGCGCCTATACTCATAGAAGCTGGGTTACAGTACGTAACCCCAGATTTTCAATGTGGGCCGCCGTGCCGACTTAATTCATTTGTAATTGTTACTTGGCTGTGGGTGCCCTGTCATGATAGGTGTTTATATAAATGGTGTTGTTTTGTGTGGAAGAGGATTGCTGTCATTGATGCGTTTTGCACCCCGGGCCGCTATTTTGATATTCCGCTGAAGTATACACTTTGACGTAATAACTCTTCTTTTTTCTTTTGAGGTAAGGGGGGGGGGGGGGTGGGGGGGGTCAGAGTGCCTAGGTATAAAAGTCACGGCTCACCACTGGAAGAAAACAAATGTACTGAACTGAACTGTAACTGAAGGGTTGGCTCCTTATCTCTCAACACAGATCTAAATCAAACTTTGCTCACATAAATACATGAAACAGAAATGTTTTATTTCCAGAAGGATTTTTATCATTTTTAACATAAAACGCATACAGGCAGACCTCTTATAGTGATTACGAATTAGCATTTCTGCAAACTGATTGACTAACTGTTTAAGCACCAGTTTTATTTCTGACTGAATTCAGGACACATTGTTTCAATGTTAAACAATTATTTGATGGTAAATCTTCCTGACTGTAGCGAGACACAAGTAGCCACGGTAGCTCAGTGGGTGGTCCTTGGCGAATGGTCGGTTGGAGGCAACAGAGTGGTGCAGTAATGAGTCCTAAAACCCGGAAAATACTTTCACCACTTCCTGCTCCCTCCCTTCTCGAATTCAAAGGTTTTTTTTATGTGTTTGTTGTTAGAAGCCTGAAATTAGGCTTAGATTTTTACGTTTTCTTCTACGACATAAAACACATGAGTATACACCCCACCCGGGAATGTCCGAAGCTCCTACGTATGTGTTATGAAAAACGCGGTTGCTAACAAGTGTCTAAATGAGACTACTAAACGTCATCACGGCATACATTAGCCTCTTTAGCTTAACGATGGAGGTGCTCAGCCATGTGACCGTGATTTGTAGTTTGTTTATAGTCTAACGTTGGGTTTCACTATAGATTGCATTTACGCAAAAAAATAAAATCATTGGCTTTTTGTTGAGGGAGCTCTTTGCGATGCTAACTTCCAGGTCGGCCCACTGTACAAAAATACTTCATCACTGCACCACTCTATACGGTCTTCTTTTAATAGAATTTGCATTTACATATTCACATCACATTAGTTGTCTGTAAACGTTCACACTCCATCCATCAATCTACAATGACATTTCATATAGAGCCCTCACTTAATAAACTGGTATTCTACAGTTATGGTTAATCAATCAATTATATATCAAGGGTATTTATGCAGACACTGGAAAATCACAACATGAACATCTTCGTGTGTGTGTGTGTGTGTGTGTGTGTGTGTGTGTGTGTGTGTGTGTGTGTGTGTGTGTGTGTGTGTGTGTGTGTGTGTGCGCGCGTGTGTGTGTGTGTGTGTGTGTGTGTCACTCCATTGCCTCCTCTTCTTCGCTGTAGTCGCTGAGAGGAAACTCACGACTCTCGTTCTGTGTGTTGTAGGTCCTGTGCATCACACACTCCTGGTCAATAATGGCCTGCAACACACACACACACATGTTCACACACACACAGTTGATCAGTGGACCTACCTGCATGTCAGTGTAATTTGTGTGTAATAGAGAGGTGATTAAGTATAAATGTTTCCTCTGCAGCTTTAAAGGCAGCTGCTTCTGATCTGTGATGATCGGTCTAATCACTGTGTAATGACTTCACACACACAAAGTCTTTGGCTGCAACATCACAGAGACATACACACTTCCTGCTGTTTTGTCACAACCTGCCGTGTGTGTGTGTGTGTGTGTGTGTGTGTGTGTGTGTGTGTGTGTGTGTGTGTGTGTGTGTGTGTGTGTGTGTGTGTGTGTGTGTGTGTGTGTGTGTGTGTGTGTGTGTGTGTGTGTGTGTGTGTGTGTGTGTGTGATTTGGTGTTGTTGGCACAGAGAGTTTTGGGGAATCTGTTCAGGATGCACCATGTTAAACCTTGACTCTCTTTTGGCTATAGTATCTAAAAGAAAGCTTAGTGAGAATTTACCAATCTTTTTCAACTCTACCACAACCAGGCTTGGGGTGTAATGGATTACATAACCTGGAAACAGAAAAGGTTAACCGTATTCCCTTACAGTTACATTAAAAAGATATTCAGAGTTGAGCACATTTAAAAAAATGTGGGAGTACTTCAGTAAATAACCTGCGTACTGAGTACGGTGTGTCTCATTAAGATGTGTTGTGCTTTTTAAGTGATTTAGATTGTGCTGTTTGAATCAAATGTACTGTATCATTTGGAAAAAGGTTTCACACCTGTGGTTTTGCTCACTGGTTTAACTTTTATATCGATATTTACCATTTTTTCCTCTTTGACTGCAGGGTTACGTAACAGGAAGCAGAGTGGCGCGTACAGGATGTTGATCACCCCGATAAACACCATGAGGCAGGGGAAACCCACCACCTGAACCAGAGCGCCCCCTGTGGATGGTCCTGGATCAGCAGCAGACAGAGACCTTTAATTATCATTATCATCAGAATATTCATATCTTTGTCCAACTCATGTGAAAAACTCTTTTGACAGCAATATCTTTATTTTCTTTAAAATACATTCAGAAAACAATGGAGAAAATGATTTAATTTAGTGAAGTTTGGGTTTATATATTTCTGTTTTGTTATATTCATATATTTCACTACTTGTTAGTATTGTTATACTCAAAGAGATACTTCAACACGATGTATATTTAAAGTTAAAGTTGTCTGTGTGTGTGTGTGTGTGTGTGTGTGTGTGTGTGTGTGTGTGTGTGTGTGTGTGTGTGTGTGTGTGTGTGTGTGTATGTGTGTGTGTGTGTGTGTGTGTGTGTGTGTGTGTGTGTGTGTGTGTGTGTGTGTGTGTGTGTGTGTGTGTGTGTGTATGTGTGTGTGTGTGTGTGTGTGTGTGTGTGTGTGTGTGTGTGTGTGTCTGTGTTACCAATAGCGAACCCCAGACACAGCGCCACGTCTGCGATGGCATAGATGCTGCCGTAGACGGAGGCGTGACGGATGTCAACCAGGTAACCCATGATGGCCATCATGGAGGTGTCCACCATACCTGCAGGAGAAAAACATTCATCTCACCAACTAACAATCAGAAAAGAGTTTCCACATTTACTATAATTACAAATCAAGTCTGCATTAGTTAACGTGCACACACATTCAATATGTGTGATTTAATGAGATAATGAGCTGTTTTTATTATCACCTATAGCGAAGCCCAAACCTCCGTTAGGTCCAATCAGGCCATAGATACTGGTGGCAAAAGGAACCTGATGCACAAACACACACACACATATTAGCAGTTCTGGTTCAGTAAGTTATGGCACATTAGTTAAATTGGTTGTTTTTAACATTAAAGGTGGGGTAGGTAAGTTTCAGAAACCGGCTCGAGTGCACTAAAATTTGAAAGTACACAGCCGAAAAGAATCCGCCCCTTCCTTCAGACTTCCTAACAGAGCAACACACACTCCAACACACATGAACGCGCACATGACGTCAGCAGACTGGTGAAAGTGGCCGCCTGTTGCTGGCGAGTCATTGAAGTACTGCTGCAATGCACGCCCAGTGAGGGCACGCCCAATGACGGCACGAGATACATTTGTGCGTGCAGGAGATGGAAGGCTGACAGACAGGGCGGCAATCCAATCCGTTTAGCCGGGCCAGCTAAACGGATTGGTTGTACTTTTTACAGAACTACTGCTTCAAACAGGTGACATTTTTTTATGGAATTTTTGTCAAAGCACTTAAGATATTCATTGCTATCGGGATGTTAAGAGCATTCCATGGAATATAACAAAAAGTGTATCTCGAGCCGGTTTCTGAAACTTACCTACCCCACCTTTAAGTTTGATACCTGGTAATGAGAACTGTGAAGAATTGTATAAAATGACATATGTTCTGTTTAAATACATGTGTTCCTGTAACAATGGCTGAATCAATGATGGGTGGAAGAACAGGCTATTATATTGATAAATGAATGGTATACTTACACACAGCAGACTGATGCCAATGATAAACATCCCTATCATGGAGCAGAGCCACCTGGAGACACAGAACACATCAGCCATCTGTTACACCTGCAGGTTTACTGGAGGTCTTCAGGTCAGGTCTGAACAGGACTCAGACTCTCCATAAAAGTGAATCAGTTAATCTGCTGATTAAACCTCTTCCTCTGAGAGCTCTTATGGAATGAACAACACACACACACACACACACACACACACACACACACACACACACACACACACACACACACACACACATAGACACTGACCGTCCCATCTTGTTGGACAGAACACCAAACAGGTTCGTTCCAATCAGGTAGGAGATACTGGCAGGGAGGAAAGCTATACCTGTAAAACAACACACATCCGTTAAAAAGGGAGAGGTGAGGGAGATATAAGGAAGAAACAGTAATTAAGGATAAAAAAGGAAGGGAGAGAGAAACTTAAGGAGAGAGGTATAGGAAGGAAGGACCAGAAAGAAGGAGAGAAGGAAAATAAAAAAGGAAGAAGGGAAGGAAGGAACCTAAGGAGACAGGAAGAGAGGAACATAAGAGGAATGAAGGAGCAAAAGGTAGACGTGAGGATGGAAGGAAGGAAAGAAAAAACAATGGGACATAAGGAGGTAGGAATGAACAAAGGTTGGAGGGAGGCACATAAGGACCAGTGGTGGCCGGCCCATAGGGGCGCTAAGGGCGCCGCCCCACCTCTTCCCACATTCTAGATACTATATAAAAAATACCTTCATTTTATGAATTGTATACGGCTTGGCTAACCAGACCCAGCATGGATCCAGACAGGTGTGAGTGACTTAAAGCACATATCAGAAAAAAATAAAAAGCATGAACAAATGGAGTCCACATGGATGATGCTATGCGCCTGCCATGTTTAGGAAAGTAAACACAGCTGTCCAATGAGGGCTACAGGATAGGGATCTGTAAGCATAATAAGGAGATTGACAAAAACAGGCTCTAAAATAATAGACTGTATCAAGTGCTGTGTGCCTTTGAGCTAGCTCTGCGTTGTAATATGACATATGTTTGGAGTTTGTGTATAAGTTACATTTTGGTAGAGTCCCCCCTGGAGAAAAATGCACCAGCCGCCACTAATAAGGACATTTCTGCGAAAATCAATGTGTGAGGGTCATATTCATACTTTTATGGAGTGTTTGTCATAATTAAACTCAACCAAATCAACACATATGAAGTATAAAGCTTTTCACAACGTTTTAGGTTGATTAAATGTATTATGTTTCACTTAGGTTAGTTGAAACCATTAATATTAAGTTGAACCTAATACAGTATTTTGCAATTAATATTATTGCTTTCAACTAACCTAATACAGTTATGTGAAATTTGATGACATGATACATTGAATTAAAGTCTGTTTTTTCAGTGCATGCACGAAGGAAGTAGGAAAGGTGGGTGCAGACAATGACAAACCAAGTTGCCATTTAGGGGAGCACATGGTCTGCATCATCCAGATGGGCAGGGTCGGCTCCAGGATGGCCACACCCATGTTGGCAAAACACAGAGAACCTGCAGATAGACAGATCCCAGAAATGTGATATTCTCTACAGACATATTTGTTTTTTGGGGGAAGATGATGTGGATGTACAGGTGAGTGCAGGAGCGCCTTCTTACCTGCACTAATGAGGATGTACGGGTCCTTCAACAGTGTCAGTAATGGCGTCCCCTCCACACTCTGAAACACACAAACTAGAGCTGGTTATGCTATAAAAAATCAGACTGGACCAGAACAAATCACTTCAGATTGGATCAGATGGATACAGTTGGAAAGTGGACTCACCCCTGGGGAGATCTTTGAAGGCTGCAGGATGAACAGCTGTAATGCTGCAATACATAAATGCAAACATCGGGACGTGCTAACTGGAGTGGATCAGTGTGACATCACCAGCATGTATAGGTGGTTACATTCAAACCCCTATCAGCAATAACTTTATTTATAGATGCAGTTAATTATTGATTAGATCAACTTTAGTTAGATTAATATCCACGTATCTTTTTAGCATTAAACAGCTCCAGCTCCCATGAGTCTAAGCAGGTGTTCAGGCCAGAAACCAGATCAACTCAGATTACTGGGACACCGAAATGCAGAAGTCACTTGACTGGATTTAAACATTATAATATATCAAATGTCTGAGATAAAACTGCACTAAGAGACTTCATTATAATTCTTTATATGTTATTGGATGTTTTATTTTAAGTCTTTAAGTTTATACAAAATATTTGTATATTATTTGATTCTGTCATATGATTCTTCATTAAACATTACTTGCCTGTTGCTGTGTCTATGAATGATAGTTGTTAAGCA